CTGTATTTAAAAAAAAAAAGCCAAACACATTGACTTCGAGTTGATTCTGACTCATAGCAACCCTGTAGGACATAGTAGAACTGCCCCACAGGGTTTCCAAGGAGTGGCTGGTGGATTCAAACTGCAGACCTTTTGGTTAGTAGCCACGTTCTTAACCTCTGTGCCACCAAGTCTCCATAGCTGTATAGTATATTTTAAAATCAGGAAGTGTGAGCCCTCCTACTTTGTTATTCTCTTTCAACATTATTTTAGCTATTTGGGGCCTCTTGCCATTCCATATAAAACTGAGGATAGGTTTTTCTATTTCTGTAAAGAAGGCTGTTGGAATTTGATTGGGATTGTGTTGAATCTCTAGATCACTTTGGGTGAGTCCCAGTTTCTTCATGCTAGGAACTAAAACCTCCTGCAAAGCATTGTTGTGCAGTATATGTGCCTAAAAAGCGGTTTATGTGCTTCTCACATAATAGGTACTCAACAGACTCTAGTTCCCTTGCTCCCTGTGTACCTAGGACTGATACTGAGTTGGTAGAGAGTGGGACTAGCCACAGTCATTCTGACTGGACAATGCCCATGCTGAATCAGTTAATTACTTCTCATATCAGCCTTGCTTATAGGAATGTTTCTTGTAGGAAATAGGTAGGTAGTCTTATGATCAGGAATCTAGTGTAAAAGTTTATTTAAACAGAGAGAAATAATGTTAATATTGCAATTGTTGAGAAAATAAAACATTACAATTTCCTATTTTTGTAAATTGGTCAAATTAAAATTTTGGTAACAAGGCTGTTTCACAGTGATGACCTCTAGCAAGATCTTTATTTTTACAATATTTTTTTTTCTATTTTTTAAAATCTTTTTTTATTATTGTCCTTTAAATGAAGGTTTACAAAACAAACTAGCTTCTCATTAAACAGTTAGTGCACATATTGTTTTGTGACATTGGTTACTAATCCCAGGACATGTCAACACTCTCCCTTCTCGACCTTGGATTCCCAGTCGCCAGCTTTCCTGTCCCCTCCTGCCTTCCACTCCTTGCCTCTGGGCTGGTGATCCCCTTTAGTCTCATTTTGTTTTATGGGCCTGTCTAATCTTTGGCTGAAGGGTGAACCTCAGTAGTGACTTCATTACTGAGCTAGAAGGGTGTCCAGGGGCCATACTCTTGGGGTTTCTCCAGTCTATGTCCAACCAGTAAGTCTGGTGTTTTTTGTGAGTTAGAATTTTGTTCTACTTTTTTTTCCAGCTCTGTCTGGGACCCTCTATTGTGATCTCTGTCAGAGCAGTCAGTGGTGGCAGTCGGGCACCATCTAGTTGTACTGGACTCAGTCTGGTGGAGGCTGTGGTAGTTGTGGTCCATTAGTCCTTTGGACTAACCTTTCCCTTGTGTCTTTTGTTTTCTTCATTCTCCCTTGCTCTCGTAAGATCTTTTCTTGACATCACCACAGGAATCCATGATACAGGCAATTAAATGAATTGCCAGTGACCACAGTGCTACCATCAGTCTAAGAAGACTCGGCCATGACTTGTTCTGGGTGCACTTCCCAGGCAGCTGTTGAACCCAGAATCGGCCAATAGCTCCAACTGAGTGCTAGGGAGTGCTTTAGTTGCAGCTCTTACAGAGCCAGATGTCAAGTGATTACTCCCGAAATTACCAAAAAGACCTACTGGATATGTCTTGGAGAGCCCTGAAGAAATCCTGGAATCTGGTGTGGATTAGATTTTTTCAGCAGGGTATCTCGCATTCGCCACTTTGCAACTTCTTCGAATATGAACTCCACTGCACAAAATTCTTTATCTTTTGTCCTTAGTTCCAAAACCACCAAAACCAAACCTGACTCATAACAACCGTATCGGACAGAGTAGAACTGCCCCATAGGGTTTCCAGTGAGTGTCTGGTGGATTTGAACTTAACCACTATGGCACCAGGGGTTCCTAGTTCCAAAAGGTGAGTTCTAAAAGATCAATATTGCTATGTGCATTAAGATACCATTTAAAAGCTCCAATTCTCCAGCCTCTTGTATGTTGCCTGCCGATTGTCTACTCAGGTATTTCCTCAACAATTATGGAGAAATGTCTAAAGCAATCAGGTGTCATTCCTGTAGCCCAGGTGCAGTTTTACACAAGGATCAATGTTCTGTCAAATTCTGGTTAAATAAAATTGTAAAATAGAACATAAAAGAAACAAATTACCTATGATCTATTTTCTCCAAGGGACCAGGTTTTATCCTTCCCTTAATTTTCTTTAAATGTGGGCAAGATTGAAGGCACTCATTTTGTAGGGTACAGCTCATCCATTAACGGAAACTGTATGCTAAATCTACTTTTTTGTGTTTCCTCCATGATTACGTAGCCTATTTTCAAACCTCAGCTATTTACTGAATTTGTATTTTACTTCTCTTTAAGACATTTATAATTTAATATTTAAAGTATTGCATTCCAAATTCCATCAGCCGTTATTTCTTAAATGTCCACTTCAAAAGAAATAGAAGATGGAGTCTTTTGTTTCAAAAAGTATACCTGCTATTTAGGAAGGCAGAACATATCCAAATGAAATAATGAAAGGGTTTTTTTTTTAAGCAATGAATTGGCAGGTGCTAGAAAATAGTTTCCACAAATGAACAATGTTCAAGGGGAACGAGCCAGAAAAATGGACAGAATCAGGCAAGATACTCAAAAAGGCTTCCTGAAGGCAGTGAAATTTATTTTGGGTTGTGATAAAAAGCACAAACTTAGATGAAAGAAAAGTTGTGAGGGGACATGTTTGACAAAGAGCATAATTGACTTTTGAGCCTGGGAAGGAAAATAGACTTTATTTCAGATAGTTGTAGAACCATTGTAACAATTTGCTCATTTCTTCTTGTGCTGTAAGATTTAAGATGAACGGGACGAAGTATTTAGCAAACGATCTCTTCCATCTACCTTTCACTTCCTTCTTCTAATTTATTGACAATCCCAGTTCCATTTTCTTCATACAGAATAGCTCCAAAATATTTTAATATTGACTGTTTTTTATTGCTTTTTTTCCTCTAAATTCTACTTGTGAAATCATTTTCTTCTCATTCACTTATATAATTTTTGGCCTTGTTTCTTAAATGACACTAAATAATTGTAGACCAGGCAGTTTTTATGCTAGCTAAATGACTCCTCCTATCTACCATCTGTTGTTTTTTTCTCCTAAGTGGAACAAACTTCCTTCCCAAAAATTCATAGCAGCCACACACTGCTGTTTATAGTCATTTTAGAGATAAAACTCCATAAACTCAAGTTACCACTTACATTTTATAAGTGCTGCCTCCAAGTCAGTGTTGGAAAATTGAAACTGACATCCCACTGTGTTCCCTGAAGTAGGGGCATATTTTCTATGCTTATCATTGACTGTGAGAAATGGCTGGATTAAAGCAGAGAAATATTTCAATGATGCAGGGCAAAGGTGACTTCCTGTTTTGTTTTAGGCTTTGTTTCCTTCTCTTCTCAATGAGGGCTGTGTATGCTGACATTCTGCAATCTTTCTGCGCAGTGGTTTCCCATTGAAAGGGTCCTGTGCCAGTTTGCAGGTCATTTCATTTACGATCTCTCCTGAAAAGGGAAGGACGGAAAGAGAGAGGGCTCATTAGTAGAAGGAGCAGACCACAAGGGGATCTGTTTCTATTTTTTCCTCTAGATTGAACTCATCTGGATGGAAAGGGAAAGGATTATTTTGTTTTTGGTTTTAAGATATAGCCGATCCTCATCACGACCCGTGTGGTGTAATTTTCCTACACCTTTCTCTCCAGTGTTAGGTGAAGTTGTTGGTGAGAAGAGTTAGATGTGTCATTTTCTTTTAGTGAGTAAAATCAGAAAAAAAGTCAAGTGCTTTAAAGTAGTTAGTTGCCACTTTCAAGATTAAAAGGCAAGACTCAAAAGTTCTGATATGGCAAGGCAAAGAAAAATTTTAAAGAAAAACATCTCCCTGCTCCTTGCTTCTGGTGGCCTATTTGTAATTGTACACAACATTTTCTTCTCTTTTTATGAAAGGCAATTTCCCCCCACCTGGTTATTAAAAAACGCAGATCTCTGTAGTCACTAAACTTTGGGTTGATAAGGCTCCACCACTGTTTATAGCTGTCTGTCTGCGACTTGAACATTTAAAGTGACTTTGCTTAAACATTTTCCCTCAGGTCTAAGTTTCTGCAGTTTGTTTAAAGGGAGTATCTCCAGAGGCTTGGGTGGATTGCCAAGTCGGGAACTGGCGCAGGGGGAAGGGACTTCCCAGTGGGGGATTGGGGCGGACTCTTCTGTGAGGGGCTAGGGGCTCATCCTTGGGGCCAGGGGTGGCACGACGGCCTCCCCAGAGTGAGGGTGGGGAAGAGGCGATCTCCCCAATTGGGTGCACAACTCGGGTCAGCAAAGTCTTGGATAATCGCATCCTCACTGCGTCTCAAAACTTCCCTCCCCAACCCCATCAACCCACAGACCTTCTCTTCCCCGACCTCCCACCCTTTTCCTGGGATAGGGAGCAGCCATCGGAGGGCAGGGACTGCGCCGCGGGGCGGAGCTCCCTCTGTGGCCCGGAGGTGGGGAACGAAGAGCAGCTGGGTCCGAGGCACAGACCTCCTGGCGAGGCTCCGCTGGCTCACACCAAGGATTAGAACTTCTTCAGCCTGCCAGACTTGCAAACTCCTGCTGCATCCTTCTCCACACACACACACACACCCCCATTAGGAATTTTTTTCGCCTCTGGTTTCCCCTCCCTCCCTTCTCCACCTTAACCCCTCGCTTTGGAAAATTTAATGCTGCTTTAAGCACCTTTTGTGATCTAGGGGACGTGACGCGCCAGAACTTCAGCTACCTCAGCTGAATTCTACTTTTGTTCTTATTTCTCTCTGCTTCTTCTGATATTCCTCTCATCTGATTGATCTGCGAGGTCTGGTGCTTCTGCCAGAAAGAGAGGAATAAGTAGGTGCTGCTGCCCCAGAAGGCTTAGACGTCGGGAAAGAGCGGCCAGAGCTGGAGTAGCACGGGCGGCGGCGGCTGGAATTGGGCGCAGCTCGTGGGACCCTATTGGGGGAATTTGATCCAAGGAAGCTAGAAGATTGCAGGAGGGAGGAGAAGCTCCCAGATCATTGTGTCCACCTAAGGAGGGAGGAAGAACGGCGGACGGCCTCTCGGCGTCCACGCCACTGCTGCACCCGGTCCCATCCTGCAGGGAGCATGATCTGTTGCAACCGGGAAGGGATGCTGCTGCTGCGGACCGGGCTGCTAGCCCTGGCTGCGCTCTGCCTGTTCCGGGTGCCCGGAGCCCGAGCTGCAGCCTGTGAGCCCGTCCGCATCCCCCTGTGCAAGTCCCTGCCCTGGAACATGACCAAGATGCCCAACCACCTGCACCACAGCACCCAGGCCAACGCCATCCTGGCCATCGAGCAGTTTGAAGGTCTGCTGGGCACCCACTGCAGCCCCGATCTGCTCTTTTTCCTCTGTGCCATGTACGCGCCCATCTGCACCATTGACTTCCAGCGCGAGCCCATCAAGCCCTGCAAGTCTGTGTGCGAGCGGGCCCGGCAGGGCTGCGAGCCCATCCTCATCAAGTACCGCCACTCGTGGCCGGAGAGTCTCGCCTGCGAGGAGCTGCCGGTGTACGACCGGGGAGTGTGCATCTCTCCCGAGGCCATCATCACCACGGATGGAGCGGGTAAGTACTGACACTGCCCGGCCTCTCCTCGTCGCTCAGCCTCTCCACTATTTGGAGTCCTTGTTACTTGCTTTCCCTCTCTAATTCTTTCTTTTCTGTTCTGATCACTCCTCTCTGGAGAACCATTCCCTTTTTTTATCTCATCTTATTACCCTTCCAAACTGATGCCCTTTATTGAGGTATCTGATCTGGCTTTCAAAAACACTCCATTCATTCCACTCACATCACATTTGCACTCAACAGAGACCCTTCACTTTCCCCCTTCGCTTGTCAAAGTAACTATTTTGCATAGTGAAGCTGGTTTCTTCCTTTCTTAATATGTTCATAATTACTGAGCTTTCTTGCCCCATTCTCATGAATTCTCAGCCACCAGTTTTCCGTCTCTTTAGTGTTTTAGCTGCTGGTTAAAATTATGTGGAGAAAACAGAAAACTAAAGCCCTGTTTTCTTCTAATCTCTAAAAATGCCAAGATAATTCCAGTAAACTTACTCCAACCCACAGATGTTAGTGGTATGTGTTTGCTCAAAACCCAATTTGAGCAATTACCTTCACCTTAAATTTCCTCCTCCTTTCAATGAGATAAATTGTTCTTCCATTCCAGACTGAAACAGCTGTGAAACATTGCTATGCACTGCTAATTAGCTTCTGTGACTTGCTCTAGCCGCAGAGCTGTCGGAGGGAAATTGCTGGACTCTTTTCGCATGCCCACTTGCCTTCAAGTCATTTTGTAAATGGCATATGGATGAAAAGGGTTATAGTCAAGGCTTGTTATCATCATACACTTGTGTAATGTTATTTTTAATCTCACCCCTTTATCCCCCTACACAACAGTAATTCATTTTTATCCCACTTTACTCTCTGCAAGTAACTTGTCTTTAGTACCTTATTTTATGCCCTTTCTCAGTAACTGCATCAACCACACATTTATTTCAATCTTTCTCTGCCATAAAACTTTATTGCAGCTCTACTTTTAATGGAATCAATTGCAAGTTGTTTTCTCACTAGCATTTGTTCTAATTATGACATTCAAAACACTCAGACTCCAACTAAACCTAATTCACTATGGTCCATTTAATTCTAATTCGGTATCATTCCTACCCACTAACCCAAACCTTGAATTTCATCCTTCGTACACTTTAAAAATAAACCCAATCCTTCAGAGGAGTTTTCTTTCACACCCTCCCTGGATGGCTTGCTACCATCTCTGTACATTTCTTGGGCATCAGTTTTTTCTTCCTCTGCCTCTCAATTTGCTCGGACTAAGCTCATAAACTTAGCCCATTTCTAGGAAGTAGTTTTTGGTTATCAGGGGACTGATTCAGAAAAATTAAGGACCTTTCTGCCGCTTTCTGTGCACATTAACTCACATAACGTAAAGTGAGTAGGGAAGTGGGAGTACTTGTACAAACAGTTGGAAAACCAAAACTGAACAGAAAGATTTTAAGAACTTATCAGTGGTCCACCTCACGTAGGTTATTACCTTTTAAGTGTATCTATTTTTGTAATTTTAATCAAGAAACAAGAGCTAGTTGCAGAAATGGATTATCCAACAGGCAAGGTAAGCTCAGGTTCACTTGTGCTTACTTACTAATCTGTAGTGAACAATTTCACATGGGTTTCACCACAGTCAAACCCATGTGAAATTGTTCACTACAAATTAGTAAGTAAGCACAAGCAAGCCCCTGCTTACCTTGCTTACTGGGTTCATCTGTCCCTGTCAAGGATTGTAAATTGAAAAGAGGCTTTGATTCTATAGGAAGGTCCCAAGGGATTGGGAGAGAGATGCCAGCCATACTTAGAAGCAGAATCTCTGGTGTGGTGAAAAAATGTGAAATTCTTCACTACAGATGATCTGGTAAGCAAGGTAGGCACTCTGCCCACCATGCTTACCTTGCCTGTTGTATAATCCACCCCTGACTTGTTGTATAAAATAATCAGAAAGAAATGCATTATTAATCTGTGTGCTAAAGGAGCACTCCTGAATCTCTGTTCTCACTAAAGCCATTGGCTCTGCACACTTGGGAAGAGCTCAGTGCAGTTGCTTCCCTGGCCTGTCAGGCACTTAGGATTAGTTAACTTCTGGTGCTCCTCTCAGGCCAAGGGCTAGGAATGAGACGGTTCACGTTGAAATGGATTCCTCCCCTTAAAGGAGAAGATATTCCCTTAAACTTCTCTTCAAGATGGACCCCAAATGAGACAGGTTTGACAGTGTTAATGGCTCTCAAACATCATGCTATTCAGTACTGAGAAGAAGCAGTTTCATTAAACGCCCCTGAATTACCTATCACTGTGAACCAAACCTAGCACAGTTGTCTCATGGAAGCTCTCCAACAGGACTTGCATGGAAACATTCTGTCAGTCCATGGAACTTAATCTCTGAGCTTCTTTAAAATGTTATAATAATGTGCTTTTGACAACACCCTTGCTCGAAAAATAAGGAGTAGGTTGCAGTTGGAATCATACTTTTATTGATGATCCTCCCCCCACCACATTTACCATAAGCTCCAGCCATAACCTCCAGTATGAACCTGAGACTATGGTGGGAGGTGGGGGTAGAGAGCAGGGGTGTGGATTCTAGCCTGAAGAGCCTCCTGCCTTCCAGGGCCAGCTTGCTGAAAATTGCATTGCCTATGCTGGGTCAAACTGTCAGACACCTGGAATTACTTAGGAACTACCACATGTGACCAGTTTAATATAAGATGCAATGTATTCTGTGGTCCAATGAGATATGATAGTTCATGAAGGAAGTTTTTTTTTTTTTTTTCGCAAGGTATAGATGGAGTCCCTGCGACTTATGACTAGAATCTATCCCAGCTAGATATAAAAACAAGGTCTCCCTGAATAAAATGTGACAGCCTTTCACGTTTTTTCAATGCCAAGAGGAGTTTTCAAATCCTACTATTCACGTGGAACTGTTTCCCCATAGTATATTATGACTCCACAAACAAGCTAAGGGCATTTTCAAAAGCAAAGTTCTGTTGAAATGGATTATTGCTTTAATTGCTTTTTGCTTCAAAATACTTAAGGCAAACATACTTTTATAGCGCAAGGGACGCATCCTGACCATTACTAATGAATTCGCATTAAATTTATTCTCCTTACATATTTTATATTTACCGCAAGGTTGTGGTTACATGTTCAACTGCTTTAAAGTAATTATGTGAGAATTCAGCTCAATTTATTCATTCAGCCAGTTAAGACATTTAGTCAAATCTTTAGTATGGCATGGTGAGTAAAGAGTATAGGCTTGATATCAGGCAAATCAGGGTTTAAACCCTGATTCTTCCCATGTTAAGTGTTATAGGAAAATTATATAACCTCTTTGATTCAAGATTTTCTTATCTGGAAAATGGTGACAATACCACCTACATCCCAAGGGCACAGCAAAGATTAAATTGAATAACATATATAAAGTATTGAGTCCAATACATGGCACATAGCAGATCTTAACAAATTGTTGCTGATGATGTTATTTTACTATTATAGATTGTTATAGCAAATTGATGTTTTCTTTTTTAAAATGGATATGTTGGTAAATGTAGATACCATCTAGAATTTTTATCAGTTCAGCTCTAGAAACAAACTTCATGCTGGGACCTGTCTGGAAAAGCAGATCTTATTTCTACCAAATATATAAAGTTTATATTTCATTTCATACAAATAGCCCTGGGCCTCAGACTCAAGAAGAAAACACTCTGGGAGCAAAAGGAAAAAAAAAAAAAAAAAAAAATAAGGCTGATCTATGTGTGTTAACTACAAATAGTTTATCTCAGAAATCAAGCATTTAAGAAAATTTATGGTGTGATACTTAACAGCTATTTATACAACACCCACAGTTTGGCATGCCAAGGGCTTTATAATCACTCCTCAGTCATAGCTGGTTTCCGTGGTAGTGCTAACTTGTCACCCCGGCTCTTGCTCAACAGATTTCTCTAGGCCTTCTCCCGACTGGCAGGGCTGCGCCAACTTTCACATGCATGAAATGCTGTTTAATCATTTCTCCACTCTCTAAGAAACAGGCAGCCTTTTCTTTAGCCCTGGTCTACAAATATTTCAGGAGCCAAATACCAAGAAGGAAGAATTATTTAGGTGATATGAGGAGAGAAATGGAATGGAAAGGAGAAATGGAAATTTTAGATTAAGACTACAGAGAAAACATGGTTCTCAGGATACTTCATAGTGTAAAAAGTCACTCTGGATGGGACAGGGAAGAATATTTCAGAGTGTTCATGGTATTTAATTTTATTTATGGCTAACTCCATTATCAGTGATAATGGAATCTTAACAGTACAGGTCATTTCATTCTACGTAGTCCTCAAACCTTATTTTAATCATTCATTTTTTATTTCATTCCCACCAAACATTCAAATAGTTGTTTCTATAAATAGAAAAATTGACTAAGTTATATTTGGACTTTCTGTTTCTATTAGATATCTAGAAAGGGGAGACCAAGAGACCACCATAGAGACATATAGTTTGAATAATTAAGAGTTGGCTATATTTCTTCAATTTAAAGAAAACCACATTTTTAGTGTTACAGGCTCTTAGTTGGTGTATTGGTCAGGTTCTCCAGAGAAACAGAGCCAATAGGATAAATTGAGAGACTTGTTTTAAGAAATTGGCTCACATGATTATAGGGACTGGCAAGTCTGAAATTTCTAGGGCAGGCCAGAAACTGGGCAGGAGTTCTTTTCTGGGAAACCTCAGTTTTTGCTCTTAAATTGAAGTACTGATTGAGTGAGGCCCACCCAAGTTATAAAGGGTAATCTCCTGTTCTTAAAGTCTATTGATTCTAGATGTTAATCACTATAGTCATAGCAACACATAGGTTAGTGTTTGATTAAGTAACTGGGTACTATACGCTAGCCAAGTTGATATATAAAATTAACCATCACAGTTGGGATTTTGCCATTAATTTTGTACCTTGAGCAGGTTGTTTGACATTGACTGGAGACTGTGAAGAACAAAACGAATATTCGTGTGAAGTGATTAATAAATTACAAAGCATGGTATATGTTAAACAACAACAGCCACCTCTTTTGTAGAGGATATATGGTCATCCTTAGTGTGGGGATCATTTGCAACAACAGAGTAAGAACTAACAGCACTTACCACATGCTAGGTGCCATTCTATGTGCTTTATGCCTATTAGCTCATTTAATTCTCATAGTAACTGCATGGTAGGTACTATTATTCCCATGTTGCAGAAAAGGAAACTGAGATATATAGAGAAGTTAATGGCTTGCCTAAGTTCATAAAATTGGTAAGAAAAAGTCAAGATTCAATCCAGAGCCTATTCTACACTATACTTCTTCTCTTACTAAGAAAAGAGACGATTCCTAAATTTATAGAAAATCTGAGTCCTTTGCCTGTTGCACTGTATTTAAAGGGACAAAGTATTTTCCATTGTATTTTGAAAGCTTATTTATATATGGCTTAAGAGAATAGAAGGTGGCCCTGGACTATGATTCCAGGAGATAAGAGAGTACTACTTCACTACACTTTTGAGATAACAGAGAAAGTAAATTCCAGATTCTGATGTCTAACCCCAAGCCTCTCAATCTTAGCATGTCCCAAAATGAACTCACCATTTCCTTACCCTCATACATCCATTTTTTTCCCCTAGTACTTTCTATATTGATGAGAGGGACCACCCACCCTAGCTGTCCAGGCTTGGGAGTTAGCCTTGATTCAACCCCTTTCCTCATTCCCCATATTCAATACGTACTAGGTGCTATTGGTACTGATGTGTTGACATTTCAGTTATTATGTACCATCAAGTCAATTCTGACTCATAGCAACCCTATAGAACAGAGTAGAGCTGCCCCCATAGGGTTTCCAAAGCTGTAATATTTACGGAAGCAGATTGCCACATCTTTCTCTGGCTGGTGGGTTCAAACTGCCAACCTTTTGATTAGCAGCCAAGTGCTTAACCACTGCTCCACCAGGGCGCCTTTGACATCCCAGTAGGATGTCAGTAAGAATATATAGCTAAGAACAGTATCTCTCAGCAAGGTGTTTGCTGTGGCACTCAATGTTATTCATTAGAGGCCGCTTTCTCAACTAGAACACAGAAGACCTTTATCATATCATTTCCTGGTATTTATGGGATCATGGAAAGAATAAATGCAATTTTCGATTATTGCCGTGTCTATTAATTGCACTAGTTTAAATAATCTCTGGATGGTAGGTTTCCTTTCTGTTGAAGAACTATTTAGTCTGCAGTTATCAAAGGGTACAAGAATACTTTCTGAATGTTTTCTTTAGGTACTAAGGATTTAAATATACGCCAGTAGTGTGATTCATTTATTTATTGAAGAGGCATGTTTGGGTCTTTTAGTCATCAAGTCACAAGTGTTTGGTGAGTGCCTAATATGTGCAGAGATTTTATTGTGAGATATCACAATTCACAGATTTCCTGAAACTTGAAATCTTAAGTAGTTATTCATTAAATCCTGAAATTTTATGCATAAATGCGGATTTCAAAAGACTATCACCTTTCACCAGACAAAAGAATTGATCTGTCCTTATTTGACCAACAAATGATGGAGTGTCAACCTCAGGACACAAATAAGAATCTATTTTCTTAAGAAACCTGGGCTCTTACCAAATCAAATTTGTGACTGAATTAGATTTTTATATGGGACTGCTTGAAATAATAACAGATATGTTCTGGTTCTCTCTATTCTATCACCTCCTTTCAGATTTTCCTATGGATTCTAGTAATGGAAACTGTAGAGGACCAAGCAGTGGTGAGTATATTATTATCTTCCTGATTTTATTTGTGGGTAAAATTAGTTTTTGGTATAACCTAGATCCCCAAGTCTTACTTGGGATATTTAAAACCTACATTTTAAGGTAAACTTAAATATTTATATTAATTTTATTTTTAAGTTAACATATAATAAAATTGACCTTTTCTTTTGGTATGCAGTTCTATGAATTTGAACACAGGTGTAGATATGCGTAACTACCACAGCCACAATCAGGATACAGTCCCATCACCCAAAAAAACTCCCTTGATCTATTCTTTATAATCACGACTTCCCCAGCCCATAACCCCTGACAGCCACTGGTATGTTCTTTATCTTTAACTATAGTTTTATCTCATTGAGATTATCATGTAAATGGAATGGTGGAGTATGTAACCTTTTGATATCAGCTTTTTTTCACTCAGCATGCCTTTGAGATTCATCCTAGTCATTGCATGTATGAATAGTTCATTCCTTTTTTCTTGCTACATATTTCATTACTTGGAAGTATGGCCATTTGTTTATCCATTAACCCGCTGAAGAACTTTTGGGTTGTTTTCAGTTTTTGGCAGTCATGAATAGTGCCCTATAAACATTCGTGTACAGATCATCTCTCTAGGTTAAATACCTAAGAATAGGATTGTGGGTTATAAGTTAAGTGTGCATTTAACTTTATTAAAAACTCCCAAACTGTTTTCCAAAATGCTGCTGTTCAATTATGACTAGTGATATACACAATGTGTCAGTTTTCTTTGCTTGCTTTCAATTTTGTTTTCTTTTAGTTTTCAGCAGTTAGGCTATGATGTGTCTAGGGATTTATTTCTTTGGGATTATCATGTTAAGGGGTTAGCTAAGCTTATTGAATTTGATAAATCTATGTTTTTTGCCAAATTTTGGAAGCTTTCAGGCATTATTTCTTCTTTTTTTTTTTTTTTTGGTATCACACTCCTTCTCTTATACTTCCAGGACTATGATGATACCAATGTTGGATGTTTTGATATTGTCCCATAGGTCCCGGGGGCTGTGTTCATTTTTCTTTTTCAATCTTTTTTTTTTTTCTCTTGTTTAGATCATTTCTAACAGTCTAACTTAAATTTCACTGACTCTTTACTCTGTCAGCTCCATTCTGCTCTTGAGCCTATCCTGTGAATTTTTTTTTTTAGTTATTCTATTTTTCCATTGTAAAATTTCCATTTGGTTCTTCTTTATATCATATGTATATATATACATATACATATATTTTTTTTTGCTAAGACTTTCTATCTTTTCATTCATTTCAAAGGTGTACACCCTTACTTGTTGGAGCATTTTTATAATAGCTGCTTTAAAATCGTTGTCAGATAATGTTAACATCTGTGTCATCTAATTGTCATACACAAGTTGAGATTTTCCTGGTTCTTCATATGTAGAGTAATTCTGCATTGTATCTTGGAATTTTGAATATTATGACTATTTAATTTTGAGTATTATAAGACTTTGAGTCCTATTTAAAATCATATGGAGAAAATAGGTATTTTTGTTTTAACAGGAATCAACTCAGGAGGATTTGAGCTACAGATTCTGACCAGCCTTCTGTGGGTTGTCATTTTAATGTCAATTCCATTTCCAAAGCCTTTGCAGTAACTTTCAGATCTATACATGTGTGCACCACTCAGTGACCTTTAATATACCAGTATATTGTTTAGTGTCAGAGCTGCACATGCCCAGCTCAGAGGTGATCCCCGCAGTTCATAAACAACTATGGGATTGCATTCCCAAGCTCCTCTATCTCTGCAATCTCTCTGGTACTTTTCAGTACCCTAGGACTTTGCTTTTTGGTTCCTTGGCCCAAAAGCTGGGGCTTTATTTACCCCACTCTGTCATGCACTCCGTATGCTTGGTCCTGGGTGTGGAGCCAAGTGGAGGGAGGATATATATAGAGAAAAAGCAATGGGGATTTTCCTCCACTTTCCTGGCCCAGAAGTCCTTCCTTCAAAGAGGAAGGTTCCCCTTACTTAGAATTTTAGGTTCCTGAGGGCCTCACTTGCTTCCATTGTTGCTGCTGCCATTACCCCTGGATTGCTTGAAGCCTCAGATGGAAAAGAAGGGAGTGTTAGGAGACTCTTTTTGCACTTCTTGAGCCAGAACTAGAGGGCTTCTCTAGGAATATTCTTTTTGTATGGATGCCCACTACCAGATTATGGGCTGTGTTGAGTCCAGGCTGGGGATACCAGAGGGGGAAAATGGTAGACTCACCACTATCATCAGTTTGATGGCACTGATCTTCCCCAATCTGCCTGCTACTATTGACTTTTTACAGTCCTTAAGGAGTTGTTTCATTCATTCTTCTCAGCTTTTTTAGCTGCATTCAGTGGGAGAGACAGGATGGACTCTGTTATTCTATCTTACTATAAAATAAACTTAAATGAAGTATGGCATACATGCAGAAAAGTGCACAATCACAAGTAACCACTCTCATGTAACCACTACACAGATCAAAATATATAACATTACCAGTACTCCAGAAGGCTCCCTTGGGCGTCTTTCAAATGACTGCTTCTACCCTTTTCCCCAAGGGTACCTACTAGCAGGAGTTTTCATACCCATAGATTAATTTTGTCTGATTTGGACTTTATATAAATGGAATACTACAGTATTGTGTGTACATGTGTGTGTATATGTGTGTGTGTGTGTGTGTGTGGCTTTTTTCCCTCTTCATTGTGTTGTATGTAGCAGTAGTTTTACATTTTCATTGCTATATCAAGTTCTATCATAGGACTCTACTACATTTATTCCTTCTAATGTTCATGGATATTTGGATTGTTCCCAGTTTTTTCTACTAATACTAATGCTGCATTTGTTTCTGTAAGAATGTTATAAGTACAGTTAGTTACTATATACTTCTTCTATTTCACTTCCTTTTAGTAATTTGCACTGATTTGGGCCAGTATGTCCTGCTTTTTCAAGGTGTCTTATATGGGAAAGTTGAACATTTATGATTGTATAAAATAATTTGAAACATTGGTTTTGATTAACTTGGGACAATTTTCACTGGTGATTTCCTCTGAATCTTATCAGGGTAACAAGTGTTTGACCCATGGCAATGTCTACCAAAGGTGCCCCGACAAACCTTGATCTTCTTAAAAACTTAAGTGAATTAAAACTATTTATTTAGAATTATTTTGTTACCTTCTTGATGTAATTGACAATGTTCTTCAATGTCACAAATCAGTTGGATATTATTGGTGTCTAGCAATGGTGCTGTTTTAAAGACCACTCCTACTATATATCTGGTCAAAGTAAACCAAAAAGCTCATTTATTTAATGGTGCAACTGGCGAGTCAAAATTTCTGGTCAAATGCATGCATGAACTATCAGTTTGTCCAGAAGCTATGTTAGAATAGCACTTCAGTGTGTGAGAGGGAGCAAGCAGAGGACATTAACAACACTACAAACAATACGCAAAAATAGTTCAGTATATTAAAACTACCTAGAATGGATGTAGTGTTCCCTGGTTCAGAGTTTACTGTTCCTCTTAGTAAATATTTTGCTGGTGTAATGGCAGTGATGGAAGCAAAAAAAAACAAAAAACAAACAAAACCAAAGCTCGTTATGCTTGTTAAAAAAACACACCACCATATTGACATGTTCCAAAAGGAAATAATAATCTGTTCACACTCAAAATTTTATACTTGGAGGTAATGTAACAGCTAAGGTTGATCATAATGAAACAGGAAATGAGGAAGACACAAAAAATATTGTAACCCACATAGCCTATCTTTCAAATGTGTCAAGCTGTTTCTCTCTGGAATTTAGAAAAGAAATTCTATCCCTCCAGCTAATTTATCCTTTGCTTCAAAGCACAGTAATGCTCACAGGAAGCGCTAAGGAAGAAAGGGAGCTCAACACTTTTCTTTGTTTTTTGGAGATAATGATTCTGCGACGCTTCCAAACTGTGAGTGTGCTTTGCTTTTGCAAACCCACTATCATAATAAGGAGCAGATCTTTCCTAGTTTCCCCAGCCTGGATATGGAGAAAAAAAATTTTAGTTCTATTCCGTCAAATCACTTGGTCTTGTCAGATCAGCACAGAAAATTAAGGCAGGTATCCAAATGGGTCAATGAAAGGGTATGTTTTTATTAAAATAATTCCAAAAAATAATTTCCCTACTTTTCTTTTTTGTGATAGTGAGCAAATGATGAGCTTTTACATTTGAAAAAACAGAATTTCTCTGGAGAGGAGATCTAGTTGGTAAATTTTGATGCTAATTAATCGTATGAACATGAACAAGATACTTCTCTGGGTCTGTTCCCTAACATCAGATGAGATTGTACTGACTTGAGTTCCCTTCTGATATATCTTCCACTTAGGAAAACATTAACAGTGTCCCCTAGTGTAAACTGGATACTCTCCCAGAGTTTTCACTAATCTCTTCCTGGCATTGCTTCAAAGCAGGGCTTCAAACAGTCTTGTTCCAGTTCGAACCCCTGCTGAAAACTTGCATTTCAAACAAGTTCCCTGATGAGAATTTGCATTTCCATCCCAGATATACTGAATCAGAACCTGCATTTTAACAAGATACCCAAGTGACTCTTATGTATAACTTCCTGGGAGTTTGTTAGAAGTGCAAATTCTCAGCGGGGAACTTGTTAGAAATGCAAATTCTCAGCAGAGGTTTGAACCAGACCAAATCCTTTGGAAGTCCTGCTTCAAAGTTCCTCCAGAGAAACTCCTCTGGGTGGCTAAGTGGCAGCTGCTGAATAATTGAAGATTGCTGTTTGCATGTGGCTGCCAGGCTTGCCCAAGACATCCCCTTTTTCACTGGAATGGCCTATCCCTAGTTTGGGTAGTATAGACCCATTCTCTTTTGCAAATCTTTTCATCCCCTTTGGCCCTGTCTTAGTCATCTAGTGCTGCTATAACAGAAATAGCACAAGTGAATGGCTTTTAACAAAGAGAAATTTATTCTCTCACAGTCTAGCAGGCTACAAGTCCAAATTCAAGGCATCAGCTCCAGAGGAAGGCTTTCTTTCTCTGTTGGCTCTGGAGAAAGGTCCTTGTGATGCCATCAGTCTTCCCTTTTTCTGGGAGCATCTCAGTGCAAGAAACTCAGGTCCAAAGGACATGCTCTGCTGCCGGCACTGCTTTCTTGGTGGTATGAGGTTCCCATGTGTCTCTGCTCGCTTCTCTCTTTTCTATCTCAAAAGAGATTGCCTTAAGACACTATCTAGTAGACCTCATCAGTATAATCCACCTTATTACATCCATAGTGATAGAGTTCCCAACACGTAAGGAAATCACATCAGATTACAAAATGGTTCACAATCATACAATACTGGGAATCATGACCCAGCCAACTTGACAGATGTTTTTGGGTGACACAATTCAATCCATGACAGCTCCCTACCAATTTTGGGAAGGAATCTAAGTTTCTCTTCAGTGTAAATGTTTACTGTCTATAAAACAAAAAAACTCATTGCCATCAAGTCAATTCCGACTCATAGCAATCCTGTGTAGGGGTTGAATTAACTTGGGTGGACTTCTACCCTCCTTTGGAAGAAAATTATGACAGATAAAAAATAGCATTTTTATAATTATAGAGTAGCTACAACCATAGTGTTTTTTCATTACTTTGCAACATTTGACAATTTTGACCAATTGTCTTTCTTGATCATTCTTCTCCCTGAGCTATTATGCAAATTGTTCTAGTTCTTCTCCTCCCATGCCACAGCTGTGGGCATTTCCCAAGGCTCTGTGCCTGGCCTTTGCTCCTATCTCCTTATGATTATGTTTTCTTATTGGAGTTCATCCAGCTACATTGGCTTAATCACCACCTTTGTGAATCTAGTTCTGATAGTTCTTTCAGGTAGAGTATCACATTTGCCTCCAATAAATATTTCTACCTGGGTATCCTATTTGTACTTCAAGTTCAACATATTTAATGACTGAAGTTATCTTTTTTATTAAAAATTTCCTTCATGCAACTTTCTTATTTGGTAAGTGATGCCATGATTTCCCCAGGACTTTAAAACTTCATAGTTAGTTTATTAGTTCATCCATCCCACCATCCATTAAAAATTTAATGAACACCTACTGAGTATCAAACATACTATATGCTAGGTCATGAAATGAAAGGAGTGAGCAGTTGACTGGAACTTCCACTTTTTGTCTCTGTGCTTGACACCAAGTAAATACGTAACCTTCTAAGAGGTTATGTTAGGTTATCTTCTGGTTATTTGACCTCTTTAGAATATATCACAAAATGCAACACTTAAGATGTTGCAAAAGAAAACAGGCAAAATTGCATCACCTTTTTCTGTATTTTGTATATACTGAATGATTCTTGGATCCAGAAACATTGTAAAAGGCAGTTTATTTTAAATTTTCTAGTGGCATAAATCCTAAAGGGATAAACCAAATTTCTTTATTAATATCATGTCAGACACCTCAATCTTAAGCAATTCGCTTTTACAAAGTGCAAATTACTATGAATTGAGTTATTAAAATATTTTTATATTTTATAATATCAATGTTATGTTATATTAAATCCAGCTATGTCTGACAGTAATATCCATCCTTTTAACCATGGTGCTTCTCTGGTCTCTACTGCAGTAGTATTGCTCTACTTCATCTGCGCAGTTGGCTTAATTTCTGATTCTGAAGAAGGTGTCTTTTGTTTGGGTATTTATTTCATCATTTAGATCAGGACATTAGGGTTTTTTTTTTTTTTAATACCCTGGTAATAATAAGACCCTCTAGATTTTTCATAAAGTGTCCGTTTGGTGACTTGGACTTGCAATTTTAGCAAGAGAGAAGGTGGTTCTGGAGATAGGGTTCCAGGGGTGTTTCACCATCTCTAGATGTTTCTAGAAGGGTGGTGGAACTGACCTTCTGGAAGACCAAATGGTATATTGCCAACCTCCATTTAAGGGCTATCAAAGCAAGTTCCACAATGGCACCCCTTCTTGTTGCCATTTTGATGACTCTGATGATAAAGTAGATGAGCCATCTAATGCTTTGACTTTTGTGCTTCTCTAACCTGCTCATCCACTCTACCCTAGCTGTTCACTTCCATAGGCACATCCTGGACCTTGTCATCTAGCAGTGAAATCAGCTCTGTAGTCTTTAATTTCAAGCATCTCACTTTGCCTTTAAAATATGTGTAACATTTCACTATAAGATAAAACATCTATACAGGTAGGCAAGAAAAATATAATAACTTCCCATTTTCTTTCAAATGGGAATACAATCATTTCACTAAGAAGTTATTTTTGGAGAATATCTCTTCAAAATATTAACAAGCACTGATATTAACGTTGTTGTTAGTTGCCATTGAGTTTGCTCCAACTTAGGGCAACTTTATGCATAACAAAACGAAACGTTGCCTGGTGATACGCTATCTTCATGGTTGTTGGTATGTTTGAGTGTATTTTTGTAGCCATTGTATCAATCCATCTCACTGAGGGCTTCCCTCATTTTTGTTGCCCCCCTTTACCAAACATGATGTCCTTTTCTAGCACTTGGTCTTTCCAGGTAATGTGTCCCAATTACGCAAGTTGAAATCTTGCCATCCTCACTTCTAAGGAACATCTGGTTGCAGTGATGTTGTTGTGTTGTTATTAGCTACTGTTGAGTCAGCCACCAACTCATGGTGACCCCATGCACAACAGAACAAAGTACTGTCTGATCCTGCACCATTCCCATGATTAGTTGTAGATTGGACTGTTGTGATCCATTGAGTTTTCATTAGCTGATTTTTAGAAGTAAACCTCCAGATCTTTCTTTCTACTCCAACTTAGTCTGGCTTTCACTGAAACCTGTTCAGCATCATAGCAACACAGAAGCCTCCACTGACAAATGGGTGGTGGCTGCACGTGGAGTGCGTTTGCCAGGAATAGAACCTGGGTCTCTTGCATGGAAGGTAAAAATTCTACCACTGAATCACTAATGTTCCCACTCCCACTCCCGCACCTCTGCACTGATATTACACACTGTTTATTGGGCTGAGAACCTTACTTACCAGAAATCATGTGTTAAAGATTATCTGCGGAACAAGGGAAGTGTGGTGCATACTGTTGAGAAATTCTCATTTCAGGGATAAGAACTGTTGGAGATGCCTTATTCTCTAAAACTTAGAGCTGACAGTAAGGGTTTACGTCTTCACATGGAAATAAAATTTATTTTGATTAGAAAACACAATATCAAATGGTTAACAAAAGCTCCTGTCTTTTATTGATCTCCATGCTAACATAAAACATTTTTTAAGAAAAACTTTTCTATTGGCATTCTTTTCTCTGGTTCATGTGTTCTTTTTTTTTCTGTGTCAAAATAGAAGAAACTCATGCTATTTCATTTTAATAAAGCTTTTTCAGAGGTATTAAAGAAGTCTTTGCATACAATAAAATGCTTTCTAAAATAATTGTGTATTATTTTATAGTTTTATAATGACTGTAATTACTAACCATTTACCATGGTTATTCTGTGTATTTCTTAGCTAAGTAATCTTGGAAGTGCAACCCTTCTATAAAAGGTATAATAATCCACTCTCCAGTATATTGAATGATCTACACTATATATGAAATACTTTGAGATAGTTAGAACTTGTTTGGTGTATACCTGTATTACATAGAAAATGTTTTCTGGTTATCACTCACCAAATATTTTAAAAATATGGAATTTCTCTTTTCAAAATGTGTACATAGTAATTTCCTGCAAATAAGCATAAAAATATCATTGAGTTAAATAGTAGCTACTCTACCTAGAAAGGGGGCTTGTAACCCCTCTTCTTAGGACCTTCATTAAGCTCACTGGGTTTCAAGTGAGAGAAAGGTATGTTGAATTCCTTGAATTACCAATTACTGTCTTGGGCAGGCCATTTAGCCCCTCTGAGTCTCATCAGTAAACAAAAGTGGTAATAACACCTGCTTGTCTGATTGAGTTGCTTTCAGATCCATAGGCTAATAATTGGAGCAGTACTGTGTGATCTGTAAAACGTATATAAAGGTTAGGTGGTACTCCCCAGGGGTAAACCAATTACCTTGGCATAAGCAGAAAATTGCCTCTAAGCAGGTATTGATTCTACTCCCATATGAACTAATCATGCTTCTTTCAGGATTCAGGGGTCACACTCTCATGCATGGTGGCTGTCTTAGTTATCTAGTGCTGCTATAACAAAAATGTCACAAGTGAGTGGCTTTAACAAACATTTATTTTCTCACAGCTCGGAGGCTAGAAGTCCAGATTCAGGGTTCCAGCACTAGGGGGAAGGCTTTCTCTCTCTGTCAGCTCTGGAGGAAGGTCTTTGTCTCTTTTCAGCTTCTGTTCCTCAGCAATCTTCATGTGGCTTGGCATCTATCTTTCCCTCATCTCTGCCTGCCTGCTTGCTTGCTTGCGCTTAATGTGCTCTTTTATATCTCAAAATAGATTGATTTAAGACACACCCGGTACTAATACTGCCTCATTAACATAACAAAGAAAACCCATTCCCAAATAGGATTATAACCACAGGTATAGGGGTTAGGATTTACAACTGATGTTTTTGGGAAACAGAATTCAATCCATAATATTGATGAACAGTGTTTCCTCAGAATTTGGGTGTTTTTTTGGAAGGTGGTAACTTATGAGCATATTGATATTGAATAAGAAGCTATATAAAACCAAACTTATTGCCGTCGAGTCGATTCCCACTCATAGCAACCCTATGTAGTTCCAGGAGAAAGATCAGAAACATAGAATTGCTAAGAGCCTACTCACTGCCAGACTGGGGTCCAGTCTTACCAAAAAAATGTGAATAAACAAAAGAAAGCTATTGCTGAAATTTTGCTTATAGCTAACATATTGTATTTTTCAGAACGCTGCAAATGTAAGCCTATTAGAGCTACACAGAAGACCTATTTCCGGAACAATTACAACTATGGTAAGGATATCTTCATGGTAGACCTAGAAACCGCTGTGTTGAAAGAGGTGTGTATGTTTGTGTGTAGAGCTGTTTAAGAATCAGGCTTAAAAACAAACACAACTTTTAAGAGCATAGTTTCCCTGACCCAAACAATTAAAATGTTTCATATGGACAAAATTCTTAACAAATGTTTGATTTTCAAGCATATTAAACTAGTTGCCATTAAGTTGATTCTGACTCATAATGGCTTCATGTGTATCAAAGTAGAACTGCACTCCATAGGTTTTTTTTAAGTAAAACTTTTTTGTGTGTGTATAATTATCACATTCAGGATATTTAACACTGATATAGTCTAACATCTAAAGTGGGATCCATGTTCAAATTTTAACAATGATTGTCATGTTCTTCATAGCCAGTCCTCTTCTCCAAAATCCTAGATCCAGTGTGTTGCATTTAGTTGTCATGTCTCTTTAATCTGGAACAGATCCTCAGCCTTTCTTTGTCTTTCACGACCTTGACGTGTTTTAAGAAGACAAGCTGGTTTTGTAGACTGTCCTTCAATTTGAGTTTGTCTATTTCTTCATGATTAGATTCAGAACATGCTGTTTTTTGTGAGGATGCTATGTAAATGATGTGTCCTTTGTGTACCACATCAGATGTAGTGTGATGTCTGTTGGTCCTGTTGTTGGTAATGTTGACTCGGAGCACTTGGTTAAGGATCAGTTGGTGTTCACCAAGTTTCTCCTTCATAAAGCTTAATTTTCCCTTTAAGAATAGCTTCTTCATAGACATGGGGAAAGAGGAGCACCATAGGGTTTTCAGTGGCTGAATTTTGGAAGTAGATTGCCAGGTTTTTTTTCTGAGACACCTCTGGCTTGATTTGAATCTCCAGCATTCTGAGTGAATTAACAGTTTGCACCACCCAGAAACTTTAAAGCATATTAAACCTATTGCCATGGAGTTAATTCTGCCTCATAGTGACCCTATGGGACAGCGCAGAACTGCCCCATAGAATTTCCAAGGAGCAACTGGTGGATTCGAACTACTGACCTTTTGGTTAGCAGCCATAGTTCTTAACTACCGTGCCAGCAGGGTTTCCTAAAGCATATTAGGCAGCACTAACAATATCTTAGAACTATCCAATGAAGTGCACAGAGACGAATTCCAAAATAGGTGCGACTCTTCTTTATCTGGAGGATGAAAGAATTTGAGCTCAAGTGTTGGTGTTTCAGGGTGTCTTTTAAGATCAGCTACGTTGAGGTGAACAGAAGAGAACTTTGATGCGTAAGGAATGGTTAAACGAACCAAACTTGGTTGCTTCAGTCAGTATATCCCATGAAAAACATTGACGGAGTTAGAAAGTAACACTTAAAAGAAGTTGCTAGCATTCAGTTAAGGAAATTTTTTTATTGGATAACTAAGACTAGAAGTGTGACATTCTGATAAACAAAATATTAATTGAATAACTACTAATCCAAATGTGGCTGCCAAACTTGACTCTAGGAGGCAAAAACCTGCTGACCCTGCCAGGTACTGTGCTAGGTGGTTTCCATACACTGTCTTATTTTATATTCTCAACTACTACATGAGATGTATTATTATCCTGATTTTATCAATGACTATTGAGCAAAAGTTGTCCTTTCTTTGATTATTCAGAATTACTTTTGGGCATTGGTGTGCTTCTGAGTCATAAATGTCAATTACTGTCATATTTAGAAGGGCCAATTAATAGAGTTTTCAATTGATAAATAAGGGGAAATCAATATTTACTACATTCCATGGGCATTTTATTGTGATTTTTTTCTAGTGTTTATGAGATTAATAAAGGTCATATTACTATATTAGCTGAAGACTTGTGATGCTGAGTCAATGAATAAACAGGGAAATTAAATGGATTTTAAAGTGAACTTTTTATTATTAACATGAATTGAATTATTAGTTTATTGCCCTATTTTAGAGAATGTTGCACATATAGAGAAGATTTATTTCTACTTTTATACTTTATGGAAATTAGAAGGAGATAAATGGGTAAAACTCTGTAAGAGTAACCTCTGATAATATGTATTAAAAGGTATAAAGTAGAAAATTCTCAGTGTAGTTAAGCCTCTTTTAAAATAAATTTTAAGAAAGAGCAGCAAAAGAAGCCCTTGGGCACCAGAAGAAAGGAAATAATAAGAATTAGAGCAGAATTAAATGAAATAGAGAATAGAAAAACAATTGAAAGAGTTAACAAGACCAAAATCTGGTTCTTTGTAAAGATCAACAAAATCGATAAACCACTGGCCAAACTGACAAAAGAAAAACAGGAGAGGAAGCAAATAACTTGTATAAGAAATGAGATGGGTGATATCACAACAAACTCAACTGAAATTAAAAGCATCATAACAGAATACTATGAAAAATTGTACTCTAACAAATTTGAAAGCCTAGAGGAAATGGACAAATTTCTAGAAACTGACTACCTACCTAAACTAACACAAACAGAGGTAGAACAACTAAATAAACCCATAACAGAAGAAGAGATTGAAAAGGTAACTTAAAAACTCCCAACCAAAAAAAAACCCTGGCCCGGATGGCTTCACTGGGAATTCCACCAAACTTTCAGAGAAGAATTAACACCACTACTACTAAAGGTATTTCAGAGCATAGA